TCAGAAAAGTTTTACGGGAGCGAATTTTTGCGGTTTGAAGTTCGCTTGCGGTAATGAAAGTTTAGTGTTATTCTGTTTAGACAGTCGCGTTTTAAACCTTGATCCAGTTGGTGCAAGTAATTAGTATCCTTTCCCTTGGAACAATTACTAGTACAAGTTTTTATGCCCTCCTACTGTTCGCTCCATTTAACAAACTGATTTCTGGCTTGAACTAATTCGACATTTAAAGCTGCTCCTTTCGCGCTCTGTTACAGTCGATATAACTTGCAGACACACGACAGTTTGACTCCGTGAAAATTGTTCAAATAAAATGTTCAATGACAAGTTTGTTTCGTCGGGTCTTCGAGTTTTGCGACCCTTCTGTTGATTAAGGCCTGCCACACGTTAGACATTCGGAATAATTTATTTGTAATACGATAAATGAATAAACAAGTTTACAAGAGAATTTATTAAATTATGAAAAAGACAATTTTTCAACGAAACGGAAAATGATCAGTTTAAAACAAAATGGAATTAATTGACTGAATTTAAAGATTAGTTTCAGAATCGATGCGAAAATTGCCGACACAAAGTAAATCAAGTAAAGATACACTCGTCTATCGTGAATTATTTAACAGCGTTAAGCAGAACAATTACAGTTCAGAAGAAAAGTGTACGTAATTAAGGTAAGTTCGGTGGTCAAGGTTAATAAACCTTAGAATACTGATACGCCGGGTCTCTGAGAGCTGTGTAACGAGCCATCTCTCTTAATTCCTCCCTCGAGACTACTTCAACTCTATTACAATAACTACTTTGGAACAATAGCCCCAGACAGAACACCTCAAATCGAGCGCGGCTTTACACCATGTTCCATAACATTGTAGTAAACTATTAGTAAAACGATTGTATTATAAAAAAGAAAAGAGTAGGTACTAATTGAGCCATTCAGAAGCCAAAATGGTTAACTCCATCTTTTGATATTTTTCCAATTTTAATACCAAGGCACATGCTTGGTGCTTAATTTTTCATAGATAAAACAAATTTAATCAGTTTTATTTTATGGTGTTAGTCACTTTGGCTTCTGAGTGGCTCAATTGTTGCGTCCCGAACACCGCGATTCTTCGTTCAGAATTTCACGGGGTCGTAAAGCCCGCTTACATTGTTTCGCGACGCTATTGTAGGACGCTGGTTATCGGAAAACTAATCGCGAGTAACCTATTCGAAACAGACTCTTGTTTGAGTGTGAATTTGTATGTTTGTTGTGACTCTCGGGCAAGACCTTGAAATTGTTAAGGCCAATTGTTTAAACTCAGACTGCATCGACAGTGTCGTTTTCGAAGGATTGTATATTTTTTAAAGGACTTGGCTCTGGCTGGAAGGCGAAAACAATTTTCCCTCGAAAGATTGCCCAGTCTGATCACTCTCAACGGCAATTTACTTATCGTAAGCCCCAAACGCAGTGAAAAGAGAGACCTAATAGGATTTATAGGCCAGTTTCTCGAACAAGGGAATTTTTGTACGACGTCCTGCAGGTCTTGTTTACCCAGCGAAATACTTGGGCTGTAGGCGTTGTAATAACCGGGAAACCGCCCCAGTTTTTAAATGGACAATCCTAAGTCCAACTCTTCTGCATTTCCCTGCAAGATGCGACTTGGAGGGAGGATTCTTGGACGATGGAGGGAACAAATTTTCAAGCCGAACGAAAAGCATTCCTCCATCAGACAGAACGAATTCGGATCTCGAACAGTGAACTTATTTGGACTCGAACCTTCATACAGAAGTCTTACGGACTTCGGTGACATCTGTTGAACTTGTACAATTGAGAACGTACAAATATCGGTCTACTGACACACAGTTCTTACAAACTATGTAACAGGACTGAATAAGTAACTGTTGTTCTTAGTAAAGCCTTGTAGTAAAGCTTTACCACATATTCCTAATTCTAAGAGACTCTTAAAATTAAGAGTGTAATTCTAAGACACTCTTAGAATTAAGAGAGATGTTGGAGTGATGTGAAACTGATCAATATTTTATGCGATGCTTCTGGTAATACTTCTCGTGTCGATGGTGTGTTGGTGTTTATATACATGCTGTTTGTCTCTTATTGGCTATTGATGTGTGGAAGAGGAAATGTGTCGCTTGTGTCCGATTGGTGTTTGTCTTGTCGAAAGGTTGTTCAGGTGTGGTTCCTTCTGAGGGACCGAATTTGTTATTAACATTTTCAATCCCCAAGAAGGTGTCCTTTACAGCTGGAAAGTTCTTCCGCCTTGTCGTCTGAGTGTTTTCGGTGTTTCGTGGAAACAATGCAATTGTCTGGTCGCGGCACTGGCTCGTCCAAATGGAGTCTATGGTGGACCGATGTGTTCGGCACCTCGGTCTGGTGGCCAAATGTAACTAACACATCTTGTGACGATAATCCGCTAGACCGAGGCTTCGTTGCGTGACCATCAGGTCGCAATACTAATTCTTGAGGTTCGTAAAGTTAAGTACAATATTGTTAAGTTTCTCATCCTTTCAGCTACTGACACGTGTAATAACATATTGTTTCAGATTTTACTACCATTCGTTTAAAAAAGGGTTAAATACACAGGACAACTTGCGGTTGAAAAACTACCTATGCAGGGTGAATCACGTACTTGGGACGGATTACATCTCAAATTTAATGAAAGATAGAAGAAAGCTGAATGGTATGCAAAGATCTACTTTCTTACGTGTTCACTTTTTTCGTAAGTTCAGCGATGCACCTAAAAAATTCAAATGCACTCTTTCTTTAAATGAAACTGCACATTTTTCTTATTTTACGTCGATCGATTCTTCAGAATACTCGGCGTAAAAAAGTATCCAGATAAAGTACTTGGAACGTGAATACGCCACGATTTCAAATTTTTGATAAGATGTATGTTTCGTTGAAAATATGACAGTCGAACGTTTGAACACCTTGAATAAAGCATAGGTACGACTTATAAGAAATTTCAAATATAAATCGTCTTTCACAACTGTCTTCTATATTTAACCGAACTCGAGATATAACCCGTCCCAATTGCGTGACTCACCCTGTATATTCTAATAATAATAAAAACAATAAAACCATATTACATTTCTTTATTATTGTATATTTATTTTGAATTTTAATTCATTAGAGCTGATTAAGAACTGACTCCGCTTTCCTATTTCCTTCTCCATAATTTATTTCCTTACTTTCTCGCTTTTATATTCTCATTTGTCTATCTCTCAGTATTCCTATTTTTACATATTACTTCACTCGTTGCCAGATCCAAGCAATGAGTACTAATTTTTTTCAGATATAATCTCCAAAAAAAGAAACTCATAAAACAAGATAAAAATGAGGAACAGAGAAAGTAGAGGAACCCATTATCGCGAACCATCCACGAATGACCACAATAAAACGCGACGACACCACGTTCCACATAACGATTAATTCAAATAACCGAAATTCAATGTGAAATGGGTAGAAAAAATACCTACGTACCGTTATACCTCTTTTAGCATTTAGACGTTAATTCACTTAGACAGCACATTTTAATCCAATTCGAAAAAATACAAATTTTACGTCGTGCAAGTGAAATACGGAAAAAATTCGAAATCATGATTAGTATCCATGTCTAATACTTTTAACGCTCTTACAAGCTAGACAGTTTAACTTTCACAGCCACTGACTAAAATACAACGTGGACCGCAAGACTGATAAGACGTCGGGCGAAAACGTTATCGCTGAAAGATTGTTTTTATCGTAACGAGCGAGTAATGCGTAACTAATAAAAACACTCTCGACTGTGAAATGGCTACAATATCCTGGTAGTTTCTGTGACGCACGAGGTATTGCGAGCGTGAAATTCGAATCACGCGAAAGTAAAACCGCGTAGGGACCCATTATATCAGAACTATGTCAATCCGCCGGCGATCACCGCGAAACTTTTATAATGAATTTTGATCGTGACGATTAATCGCACGGTGAGTGGAACATGAGCACGAAGACTGTGCTCGTATTACGTACAATCCTGCTCATAAGTATTAGGACACTTATTGAACTAAATCTGAACAGTCACTAAAAAATTATTGTGATCCAAAAGAAAAAGTTGTTCAGTGTGGTAATCTCGTAGTATAAGGAGCACGTATATTTTAGTACTACCACTCGATTCATTACTCCAATAATTAAAGTTTGCTCTTGTTCGCTGCACTTCCTGTCCTAATTTTCGTAAATTGACATTTTCTAGATGAGTGTGTCAGAAGTCGTATTTTCTTTGCAACTGTGCTATGCTAAATGTAGGTAACTCCAGCAGTATTTGGTGATATTAAAAATGGATAAGTTTAAAAGCAACTGGTAAAATTCGATAATGAGCACGGTTGTTCTGCTAATAAATTTAAGATATCTAGTTGTAGTATTAAGGTTACGATATAATAGTAACTTTGGCGAAGAAGTGTAATTTAAATACTATAATGGACGCAGTGGATGTAGTTAATCGAGAACTGTTGGGCGTAGTAACTGAAAGCTGATGGTTCAGATAAAAGCGCATAAAGTGCTCCATTAATCATCGTGTTCCTAATAAATGCGAGCATGTAGGCCTGGAAGGCTTTTAACATATGTGCAGATAAAAATGTAGAACTTCTTTTGTGTTGATAGAATTATTTATGCGCAAAAAATGATATTACTGTAAAGCCAGTCACAAACGTGTACAGATATAAAATTATTTATTCCACTATTATTGTAAGAATTAAATAAATATATTTTTCTTACCACCTGATTTTTTACTTATTTCTTATTATAACTTGTTCTCGTTACTTTACTGAAATGACAAGTGTCACATTAGATACCAACGTGATATTTATTCAATAATTTTTCAATAAAGCTTCAAACGACTTATGTTTATAGAAAATTTTTTTCTTATTAACACTCGTGGAATATATTGACAGTTTGGCCGGAAAAAACTGGGACACCCTGTATATTCCAAAGCACATTTCAATCCGTGTAACAATAACTACATAAAAAGAACCAAACTCACCTGTCCATAGTTGTCGAATCCATACTTGGCCGCTATGTCCGCAGCAGCATCCGGCCCATCAGGCACGTGGACCGCGAACTGGTTGGAGTAGATCGGCGTTGGTCGCGGCCGTGGTCCGGGTTCCGACTTCACCAACAGAGTACCGAGCAACACCACTAGTAGCACGCACAACGAACCCGACTGGACGATCATCTCGTCAACGTCGAATGGACGAGGTACTCGAACACCGCCGCGTCTTTCCTACCCCGGGTACACGGCTTTACTGCTCGTACGTTTCGCGATATCGAGAACAATCTTCAAACGTTGACAACGAGGACGAGAACGAGAACGACGACGACGACAAGGAGGATCGACGAGGGAAATACGCAGCAGCTCTTCGATAGTAAATCTCCCGTGAAATCCGGCGAGATTCACGAGTCTTCCCTTAATTTCCGTATACCATCGTCGCGAATGTCCCGACGCATCCGAACGACGCGAAGGAGGAGGAAGAAGGGGTACCGTTGAATACGTTTAGAAACGGCGAACACGATCGCTCGAGAAACGCGACACGACACCGTGGGACCACTTCGATTGCTCCGATCTTCGGCTGTTGCACGCCTTATCTGTAACAGAAGAAGCAGAAAAAGAAGTTGCGACGATCCCCAATCTTCCCCCACCACTTTGTGCCTTGAGTGCAACAAACCTAAACACATCAACACGGGAAGTGAACAGATATAGCGAGATTAAGCAAGGCACAGCATTTGAGAGGAATATCACCTGCGTTGCAATGAATCAGTCAATATCCAAAATTTCAATTTCTATAATTTCATCTTATCTTTATGAAAATAGTACCAATGGATTGGTGGCGATCTTCTGATGGAAATGAGTCCAAACACGACATAAATCGGACTAATTTTAACAGTAATCAGATTTAAAAGCACCCATAAAAATCCGCCATATTTAAATTGAGGACTGGTAAAACTAGTATGATTTATGTCGTGTTTGGGCTCATTTTCATCGTGAGAATTTCACAAATTCATTGATACCACTTTCATAAAGATAGAATGAAAATTGGTGAAATTGAAATTTTTAACATTATTCATTGTAACGCAGACGATATTCCTTTCCAGTATCACGTCTCGACCGTCGCTGCTTGACACACTACATCTATTTCGCTTGCTCTCGTTTTATCTATTCTCTTTCCTTGTCGAGCTGTTCGAAAACCAATTCCTGGAATCAAAACGCTACCCTGCTCGCGAGAATTGAACTGAGCGGACTCAATTTTGTTCAATTTAACCAAGCACTGCTGTACTTTGGCGTTGGTAACCGTGGCGAACATTCTGGTCACGAAGCCGGAAGGATGTCGCCAGAATCCTCGCAGCGCGGCGATATTAATTATCGGAAAGGATTTTCTGTGCTCTCCGGATACACCGCAGAATTTATTTTGATTTGCCATTGGCGTTGTGCTCTTTAACCGGGTTTTTGTTGGTAAGAGATGACGGGTAGAAGGGAAATTATGTTTCTGGACGCTTTTTGCATAGATACTGATGTTGAAGTTTGCTAAAGGAATTGAATTAAAGGGATATTAAAGGTCTAAAGGGATTAAAAATTAGTTTCCGTATTAAAGCATTTTTTAAATGCTTAGAATGTTGAAAATATGTTTTTCTAGTATTTTACCAAAGTTATATAGATTGAAAGGCACGGGAAACGGTAAACGTGATTCTCTCGAAGTACTGCATTTTAAACTGGCTCACAGGAATATCTGAAGAATGATTGAACCGACTTACTTATACTTTTACACAAACGTCAAAATTTCCACTGCTTTTAAGACAATATTGCATATGCTTTCCTTTTGCACAATTTATGTTGAATTCCAAGTGTCACTTTCTTAGCGGCAATTACTTTGTAAGAAACTATTTATGTTATTTATTTCGGGTTAAAATAAATTTCGAATTGTTTATTCCAGACGACTCAAGTAATGTGGCCATTTGAAAAGAATTTTTCGAACTACTATTTCTTCTGAAATTAATTAAAATATCGATAAAAGAGTATAAAGAACAGCAATGATGTAGCATGATTAATTTTTTCACTACCAAATCTCAAAAATAACGTTAAACTATTTGTCTAAGCGAAAATACCCTTTTAATGGCATAAAATTTTTGATCACATTGAAACAAATGTTGAATGGCACACGTAAGACTTTCTCTAAAGCGTAACAGCAACCATATTTTGCAGAAAAATGAAAAGGAAACTTTGTTCAGCTGTACCTTTTGAAAAATTAAATATTCATCGTGGTCGTTTGATACAATTAGCGGAGCTTGACAAGCAACAATGTTTTTAATTAAATAGAATTAAATATTTCAGTGTTCTCACACAGAATAGCGGAACGAGATTGAATAATGCTTTTTTTACTGTAATTACAAGTTTTTTGAGAAAAGTGAACCTCCACAACCAGTTTTCTCTACAAAATTTCAAATTCTTGAAGCTGTTTTATTTTGATTTTTCTAAAACTATTGGAATAAAAATTGCAACAGAACAGTATGAAGAAAAATAGGAAAAATTTTCCTCGTATTCCGCGACTACACAGCGAATGTGGCAACGCAACCTTTACTTAGAATCTTATCTTTGCTTTGCTTTTATTTGAAAAGATAAAACGAGAAATATTTTGTATAAAAGAAACGTACTGTTTGTTTTGTCAGGAAAATTATCTAAACATGCATGAATTTCCATTGCATTCCATCCAAAGGTATATACAAATGAAACAGCTCTATAAGTATATCTCCTTTCATGATGACACTATGTATCGAAAGATTTCAAACGGTCATGAAGTATAACGAAACGACTTTTTCACTATTACGTTAGTCTTTAACAAACTTAGATGTAATAATATTTAAAATCGTCTAAAAAGTATGCCACGTTTAACATAAAATATATTATTACCTGTCATTCTCAAAATTTCACAAATTTCACGCATTTAATTTTAAATGAACAAATATAAAAATAACTACACAAAGTGCTTCAAAACGAGTACAAAATTTGCGTTGTACATATTAATCTATTTCTTATTTGGCTTTTTATGCCCTATAAAGCTGTGCAAAGAAATTGTCCAAAATTTGTTGTGTAAATAGAAAAACATTCTACACTACCTTTATTTTACAAAATTTTTATCTCCTTGTCAGGTCCAAGAATATGCGTTAAATTTTCATTCTGACAATTTGTTTGTATCTACAATTTTCATGATATGCAGGAAAATGGGAACACATAGGAACCTTTAAGAGGTATTTTCACACCGAAGAACCAAGGAATAGCAAACAAACAAAAATTGGCTGATATTTTTATTTTACAATTTAGCTAATACTATTTAGCTTTTGAAGGTCTCCAATAAAATATTATAATACTTGTACTGAGGAATGGAGTACACCAAATTTATGTACATAGTTCTAGCAGAGGCAATAATGAGAAAAGTGCAGATTAGAACAGGACAAAGAACAATTAGGTATGAGAAGGGGTTGAGAAAAGGAAGGGGAAGAGATTTGTTAAAGCAGTATTTATTGGAGAAGAAGAAAGGAGTTGTGAAGCCGTGGACTTGGAAAGGAAGGGATGATTATTCGAAGAGGAACGGTTTAAGTCAAGAAGGATTGGAATGGCACCGTAGGCAAAATAATGATACAGAAAAGATGTTAGGAGTAAGGAATTGGGAGGTGCAACTACAGGTGCAATATCAGAAAATTCAACAGCCAAAGTATAACTGGAGATTTAAATATTACATTATAGGCCAGTCAGGCTGCCACAATATTTAGAAAAGGACGAGAAGCAGGGCAGTCAGGAATTAATCGCCAGAACTAGGTGTGGTAACACGGAAGAGGCAAACAGATATTGGATGAAGGAAGAACAGAGGAAACGTATTTTGTGTGAGGAAGGTTTAGAAAGTTTGAAACATCGGCTAGAAGAGTGCAGAGGAATTGAGAATAAGGATATAACGTTGGAGGAATTATAGAAGGGGAGAGACGCAGTAATGGTGATAGGATGGTTGAGTTTAGAGGAAAAGAAGGAGGGCAGGAGAACACAGACAGTGGTTGGAGGGAGGAGGGAAGGAAGAGGAATATACGTATTTTCTTTGCAACTGTGCTATGCTAAATGTAGGTAACTCCAGCAGTATTTGGTGATATTAAAAATGGATAAGTTTAAAAGCAACTGGTAAAATTCGATAATGAGCACGGTTGTTCTGCTAATAAATTTAAGATATCTAGTTGTAGTATTAAGGTTACGATATAATAGTAACTTTGGCGAAGAAGTGTAATTTAAATACTATAATGGACGCAGTGGATGTAGTTAATCGAGAACTGTTGGGCGTAGTAACTGAAAGCTGATGGTTCAGATAAAAGCGCATAAAGTGCTCCATTAATCATCGTGTTCCTAATAAATGCGAGCATGTAGGCCTGGAAGGCTTTTAACATATGTGCAGATAAAAATGTAGAACTTCTTTTGTGTTGATAGAATTATTTATGCGCAAAAAATGATATTACTGTAAAGCCAGTCACAAACGTGTACAGATATAAAATTATTTATTCCACTATTATTGTAAGAATTAAATAAATATATTTTTCTTACCACCTGATTTTTTACTTATTTCTTATTATAACTTGTTCTCGTTACTTTACTGAAATGACAAGTGTCACATTAGATACCAACGTGATATTTATTCAATAATTTTTCAATAAAGCTTCAAACGACTTATGTTTATAGAAAATTTTTTTCTTATTAACACTCGTGGAATATATTGACAGTTTGGCCGGAAAAAACTGGGACACCCTGTATATTCCAAAGCACATTTCAATCCGTGTAACAATAACTACATAAAAAGAACCAAACTCACCTGTCCATAGTTGTCGAATCCATACTTGGCCGCTATGTCCGCAGCAGCATCCGGCCCATCAGGCACGTGGACCGCGAACTGGTTGGAGTAGATCGGCGTTGGTCGCGGCCGTGGTCCGGGTTCCGACTTCACCAACAGAGTACCGAGCAACACCACTAGTAGCACGCACAACGAACCCGACTGGACGATCATCTCGTCAACGTCGAATGGACGAGGTACTCGAACACCGCCGCGTCTTTCCTACCCCGGGTACACGGCTTTACTGCTCGTACGTTTCGCGATATCGAGAACAATCTTCAAACGTTGACAACGAGGACGAGAACGAGAACGACGACGA